ATTGTTGTTTGGCAGGTCCGGGCTGGATTCGAACCCGCCACCTTAGGTGTATGTGGCTGGCACCTTAGCCGCTTGAGCCACAGGCGCCGAGCCAAGTTTATTGACTTTTGATCATATCTCAATGAGACTAGATGAGAATATCAGACACATTCTTTTCTTTTGAATAAGAAAGAGCACTTTGTAGCACATGAAGTCTTTTGCTGAAGATACTTTATGGCCAAAGTAGAATGGTGTCTTTGAGTGGGTTGTCTCATAAACCTGCAGGAAAGCACTTGTCCAGCATCCTGGGGTCACAAAATGATGAGCATGACACTTTTGAATGGGTGAGGAACTCAGCCCACAGAACTTAGGGTAAAAGAAACACTGAGAAGAGACTGTAAAAATGATATGAAGAAGTAGAACTCACTCAGAGGACAGCCACCAGGGAGATGGAAACTTCCTCCCTGATGGGACTGTTTAGCCCTGTGACGGGAAGTATGGGGTGAAAGGCAGAGAAAGTCTTCAAATATTCGAAGTATTTACATGGAGAACAAAGCTTATCGGGAGTAGCCACAGTGTTAGAACTAGGACAAGCAGGGAAAAATATTTCATCTTTCCCATAAGCTGTCCAAAGATTGAGCATTTGCGGAAAGAGAAGTGATTTTATTAATAAACTATATATAGGCTGGAGCAGTGGCTCATGCCTGTAATCCTGGCACACTGGGAGGCCAAGGTGGGTAGATTGCTTGAGCTCACAGGTTCAAGACCAGCATAAGCCAGAGTAAGACCTCACCTCCAAAAATAGCCGGGTGTTGTGTTGGGGGCCTGTAGTCCCAGCTACTTGGGAAGCTGAGAGAAGAGAATCACTTGAGCCCAAGAGTTTGATGTTGCTGTGAGCTATCAGGCCACGGTACTCAATGAGAGCAACAATGTGAGACTCTGTCTCAAGAAAAAAAAAAAGTGGAAGATTCATGTTCCATGTGGGAAATTAACTAATTTCAAGGTTCTTTCTAACCTTAAGATGTTATGATTCTGAGTTAGACCAAAATATTTGTAAAAATTAAAAAAATAAACATCACATTGGATGTATAAATATTTAGATATGCATATACTCAGAAACTTGAGCCCGTGAGTCTGTTTGGAATGGTGGCATCTATTTGGAATAGTGGTTGTCATGATTTCTAAAAGAGGCGCTTTAAACTTCTGTTCTCAAGACTTTGGCAGTGAAGCCACATCTACAACGCAACACCCGGCTATTCAGGTTTGTAGATGGAAGACATTTTTGAAAGAATATCGGGTACCTCATATTACCACTGAAAAGGCTGTACAACCAAACTTGGAAAACAGGCACAAAGGAAGGCTGGCAGCAGAGAGAAGCATAGCCAAAATCACAGTGTGGAAGGAAAACGGGGAGGATGCCCTCGGACGGTATAGCATGGAGCACCCCAAAAGCTGATATTGCTGCTGCTACACTTAGTGAGACTAGATGTGAAATCAGACATCCTTTGCCCTCTCACAAGATGTGTCCTTCATGGTTTCCATGGTTGTGACATTAGCCCCAACTCAAAGTCCAATAAATCCCCACAGTGTGGCTGTAAGGGAGCTGGGAACACAAAAATGTGGTAATGGTTTGTCTAGTGCAGTGATTTTCAACTGCTATGCCGCAGCACACTGGTGTGCCATGAAAATTTTGAAAGATCATCAATTAAATTATTTTTGAAAGAAGTTCAAAGCTCAGGTATATCCTTTTTTTACTCCTTTTTTTTTTTTTTTAATCAATGTAATTTAAATGTACCATAGAAGTTTAACTGTCGGTTCAAGTGTGCCGTGAGATAAAGAAGGTTGAAAAACACTGCTCTAGAGGGGAGTGAGCTCTGCTACCCACCAAGAGTCAGGAGGAGGAGGATTCTCTAGATGTGAGAAAGTGGGACCCCGGTGACAGACATTCACTGACAGGGCACTTCAGAGTTTCTTCCAAAGGATGATAATGTGTTGTCTTAGAAAACATTAAGTAAATGTTTGTTTTGATCATAATTTTGATGGAGGATTCCTCAGAGCCTTTCACATATTGATTAAGCATTGTGCTTCTCTAAGAAGGAGATATGATATTGGCCAAATGTGTTTCAGCAAGATACCTGGTGTCCGGTGAAATACACTCTAAGGACACTGGATTAGGGGAGTGTAAAAAGACAGAGGACGTGCTCAGAGGATTGCAGTCAGCACACCCAGATGTAATAGGAGATGGTAGCATTTAGCAAGGTGGACCAGGAGTGCCTGGGAGTCTCCCAGTCACTTGATTCATTGCACAGGGACTAGGATGAGACTTCAGCTTGAAGTGCTAGTTACTCTAAACTGGTACCTTCAAAGGAGGCTCTGACTATAGCACGTAGAAGGGTTGGGAGAGGACAGCCAAGATACAAAACCCAATGGAAAGGTCATCAGTTATGATTAGAAGTAGGAATATGGATGAAAAACAGAGACAAAGACTCTTACATCTGAAAGGAACACTATGAGTCATGAGTCCAGAGGTCAGCACACTGCAGCCTGGGGCTCAAGTCCACCTACACCTTCTTTTTATATGGCACAAACTAAGAAAGTTTTTTTTTTTTTTTTGAGACAGAGCCTCAAGCTGTCCCCCTGGGCAGAGTGCCGTGGCATTACAGCTCACAGCAACCTCCAACTCCTGGGCTCAAGCGAGTCTCCTGCCTCCGCCTCCCAAGTAGCTGGGACTACAGGCGCCCGCCACAACGCCCGGCTATTTTTTGGTTGCAGCCATCATTGTTGTTTTGGCGGGTCCGGGCTGGGGATTCGAACCCGCCACCTTAGGTGTACG